CAATCTGATGTTTTTCATCCCAACATCATCCCACTCCATCTTTCTGTGTGACTGGTCCCATGCCTCAGCTCAGGGACTCACCCCTCGTGTAGCATCTTTCCTTGCATGTACTACTCACCCTTCCTCCTTATCTATGTACCAGAGGCATTGCTCTTGCTTCTGACTTTGATCCTGTACTTCTGTTCCTCACCTGTCCCAGTTTTACATCCGATTGTTAGATCAGGGTTTGTCTATTTCAACTGTTTCTCATTATAGGGCTGCCTTGTTGAACACCTTCCATTCTCCCATGCCTGGAAAGCCTTCTCTTTCCAAGTTTTTTCCCTTCCTTTGTTCTACCAGATTGGGATCTCAGTGTTGTTCTTCATGCCCTGTCCATTTTTACCTTAAGACCTAATTCCTCCTACTCATAGCATGTGTTCATTTTCATTCCAATATTTATGCCATCCTTAACCATTCCTCATATGTTATCCACTATTGAGATCAGGCCTTTCTTCCCAGGATGTTGGCTGCCCAAGAAGGTTGTTTTACCTTTTCTCCTACTTCCTTACCTTCATTTTCCCACCTGTATTCTATTTCGGAATTGGATCATCTCCTTTGTCCAGTTCATTCCCTGCTACATTATTTGGCTCATACTGCCTCCTTTTGCAGTCTTGTTCCTGTCTAATTGTTCCATGACATTCCTCTCTTTCCTGTGATTTTTCACCTATTACGCTTACTGTTTTGGTTCATCAACTCCTATGAATGGTGTATTTTGACGTGTTTATGGCAGATTGCCATCTACATATTGTTTCTTCATCCCAAATTCTTCATCTCACTAAGTCTTTAGTTGCTCGAAACTGCCATCTTATGGAGGAGATTATTCAGGCTGGTATGTGAACGACTCCCAATACATTTGTCACTCTTTCTCTGCTGTATTTTCCTTGGGCAGGTATTGTCTTCTTCTTGTGGCAATTCTACACAAGTCTTTGCTTTTGACTGGGGTAAGTCGTCTTATTATTTTTTATCTTATTTCATTGATATACATTATGTTTCAGGATCCTGCCTTGTGGCGGGTGCTGCCTAGCTAGGTATGCTGAATTTTATACCTTAGCACTACATCTTTATACTTCTGTAATGCTCACTGTGGAGATGGGATATTTCTGTAAGACCACTGGCTGCTTATCCAGTGGTGTATATCTATCTGTCTATATATATATATATATTATTATTATTATTATCACTGTATCATATATAAAGGACTGTCACTCATGGATTTCATGAGTAAAGCAGATAGGGATTTTTGCCCATCCCTATTGACCTGTTATTTTTACTATCACGGCCTTTCTTCTTTTCAAAATAGGGAAACACAGATACCCATTGCACTGTCTCCAATGTGTTTTTTCTCTGGATCCCCAACATGGTTCCCCCTCATTCTTTTAGTAAAGCATGGGAGTCCTTACCACTTCCGTTGGTGAACTTTGGAGGATTCCTCAGGAGTAGGATTTGTACAATAAAACAGACTTCATAATCATATGCACCCACTCTGTGAAAAGGGGGCTATCATTGTTATACTTCATATTATAAACTATCATAATATTCTCGATCCAAGGCACTTATCCTGAATGTTTTTTGCCTGGGTTAACCACTTTTGTTGATCATGACGTGCCCTATTTATGCAAGGTGCTTCCACTGGATGTTTTCTGCCTGGATAGATTGCACTTCCTATGCTCAGTAACCATAAGATATCGTCTGGTCAGAATTCATCCCGATATTTCTACTGTGGTTGCTTACCTCAATTTTCAGGATGGCACCCAGTATGGATCCCTATGTTTTCACACATTGGGTCTTTCTTTCTGGACCCACATGCAGAATATCTGTATCATTATGTTTCAGGTTCCGGGTGCTTTCCATCTCGTTGCAGATCGTCCTTCCCTTCCAGACAGACTCTATCCAACAGAGGAGTTTCTTGATCATATGGTACTTCAGTGGCTTTGCCTTCATTGGAGTATTCCTCACATTGATGCATTTGCCACTTCTGTCAACTACACACTCTCTCTTTTTGGTATCCAGTCCCTTATCTGCTTACCCTGACTGTTGATGCTTTTAGTCAGTATTGGACTGATACATAACTATATGTTATCCTCCCATTCGACTCCTTCTTTGGGTAATTTAGTTCATCCATACTTTGTTGTGTCAGGTCCTTCTGATTGCTCCTTACGATCAGCTCTGTCGAGGTTTCCATGACTTCTCCAGTTCCACCTTACCCCTTCCTTTGTCTCTCTTCCTGCTTCAACAACTCAGTCATAGGTGTTTCATTCCTTTCTTCCTGTCCTTCGTCTTTATGCTGGATTTTTATCAGGTCCTTCTTGCCTGTTCCATCAGCCTTTCCTCCGTAGAAGTTTATTTGCATCAATGGAACAATTTCCACCATTGGTCTCTGGGCTGGGGACTTGCAGCTGTTTTGCCCACTGTTACTCGTATTGTGAAATTCTAACTAGGCTTTTTGACTTGTGTTCCTCTGTCACCTCAATTTCCGGCTCTCAAGTGTTTTTCTCAATACCGTCATGTTTTCCTCTCCTACACTCTCCCTGTTTTTCTGTTTCTTCTAGGTTAGTCGTCCTCCATGCCAAGCTGCCCTTCTGGACTGGGGTGTTCTGGTAGTCCACCATTGCCTTTCTTTGCCTCCATTTGAACCACTTTCCACGTGCTCCTTGTTTGACCTTTCCTTCCAGACTTACCTCCTTCTTTTTGCCAGGGGATGTCAGTGGTTGGATTTGTTTGCCATTGATTTTCATGTGCTCTTTATCTTCATACATATCTTCTCCTTTTCTGGATCATTCTTTCCTCCCTCCATTTCCTCAGCCTGATCCAGACAGCCTTCTATGTCCTATACATGCTCTTCGGTGTTGTATTGCTCACATGGCTTCCATCCATGATGCCTGTTCCCACTTCTTTATTGAATGATAACATCTTCTGTTCAGATCTTTCTCCTCCCATCTTCAGCTCCTGGGTGTGGCTTTTGTTTCTATTGGCTCATTCCTCTTTTAAGTTGTCCTCCCCGACTTTTTTCCTGGTTTCTTCTCATCCAGTTTCATGCCTTATCTTTTCTCTGGTATCTCATCTGCATCGTCCATTCCAAGAATTTCTTCTGTAGGGCATTTGGACTACACCTCATATGTTTGTCTCTCTTTAATTAATCTATATCACGGTTTCTTCTTTGTCGGGTTCTCCTCTTCTGCCTGCAGCCATCTTTCACAATTCAGTGTGACTTTGATTGGATTAGTTTATATTAATGCTTTTCTTTTCCTTTCAGGGGCCCTTGCTTCCTTTCTCATTTTCTGGATCCTACTTTGTGGTGAGTGATGCCTGACCAGGTATTCCATAACTCTAAATCTGCACTGTCAGCCATGTTGATTCATGCTCTCTCATCCATGGCTTCACACGCTCACCATTAAGATGGAGTGTTCCACAAGATCACTTGATGGTTAATTACCCTTCACAATAAGTTGCTTCATAAACATGCCCGTTCCAGACCATACCACCCATGGACTACATGGGTAAAGCAGAAGGGGATTGCTGCCCATCCCTGCAATGCCACAAGTGAATAGACAGGTATTGTCTGCTTTTCAAAATAGGGTTTCATGGTCACCCATTGCAGTGTCTCTGGTGATTAAGGTTCCTCCAGGCTCTACACCTCATTGTCACCCTTCTTTCTTCTAGTGGAGTATGGGAGTCCTTACTACTTCCAGTTTCAAGCTGCTGGTGTAGTTGACCAAGGAGGTACCCTCCTGAATGAGTTCCACACATAAAAATATTCAAACCATTCAGTTGAGAGTAGGGCAGTGGTGTTCTTGTGGTGTAGATTGCTCCATTTCTGTTTTTGGTCACATTGGTGGTATGTGGGATTGTTCCGGTGCAAGCCTTATCCATCCCTCGTTCTCTTCTTACGGGGATGTTATTGCCTTTGGATGGTGCTGGACTGTGCCACAGTTGGGGGAGTTGATTACATGTGATAAACATCCTTTCAATAGAACGGTGATGATCCTTGTGGCATACCCAGAAATTGGTGTGCGTCTTAACCCTTGATTCTTGTGTTTGAGGTGAGATGGTATAATTTTCATTCTATCCTTGCATATATGTTGGTACCCTGTGAAGTTGTTTTGAATGTAGTTGATTTACTGAGTATGGTCCACCTCACCCTAGCCACTCTAAACCTCACAATTTCCGCCCTTGTGTGTTACACGATCTACACATGGGCAAAGAGTATACCTGGCTCAGAAGTGGTGCAGTTCCCCTCTTCTGATCATCGGATCTATATCTCTCATGGTCAGGGGTATCCTTCGGATGCTTTTGGGGGTACTTCTTTCGTTCACTTGCACCAGTCCCTCCTCCTTTTCATTGTGGTATTCTAGCTAATCTTGTGAGTCTTTCATTCCCTTGCACCAGTCCCTCTTCCTTTTCATTATTGGATTCTAGCTAATCTTGTGGTAAGTACCATATCAGAAGTTATAATTTACTGAAAATGTATTTCTGATAGGTACCTCCTCTCACACTTCCAACTCTCACTTCTCTAGCACTCACACCTTCTGCCAAACTTTGAAGTGAAGGTTTGGTAGAGGAGTATAGAGGGAGTCACATGAGGCACGTGAGCAGTTCATGCTACTATTGGTTAAGAAATGATGCATGATGATTTGCATCTGAGACATGTAGGAATATAGTAATTCCAACAAGGGGGCGGCCTGGCATGGCCAGGTAGTTAGGGCGCTCGACTCGCAATCTGAGGGTCGCGGGTTCGAATCCCCATCCCACCAAACATGCCCGCCCTTTCACCCGTGGTGGCGTTATAATGTGATGGTCAATCCCACTATTCGTTGGTAAAAGAGTAGCCCAAGAGTTGGCAGTGGTTGGTGATGACTAGCTGCCTTCCCTCTAGTCTTACACTGCAAAATTAGGGATGGCTAGCGCAGATAGCCCTCGTGTAGCTTTGCGCGAAATTCAATACAAACCAACAAGGTGGGAGCACAAGGCTTGTGGCATGCATAAAGAAAAAGTTTGCAGCACTGAACGAGAATAGCTAATCTTGTGAGTGGAGGTAAGTACTTATCGGAAATACATTTTCAGCATAGAAAAATTATAACTTGTCAGAATACTGATGAAAAATTATCTTTATTGCTACTGATCACTAAAAATGAATGTTTCTTTGATGCTAGGATTAACACCATAACATTCTCAGCTGTCAGTTGATAACTTTTATATACAAACATACAAAATTTGATATAAGACTTTATATTGCTATATTAACAAGCAGTATTTCACATATTATATGCATTTATCTTGTGATATTTATGATGATATATTGAATAAATTATTGGTAGTAGCATGAGGGTTTACTCTTTTACTCATCCATTTCTGCCACTTGAAATAAGTATCTTGCATTTTATGACTAGCATTTTTCCATTAAATGCTCTAAGAAACAAAGTGGAATCTAATTAAACAGTTCTCATATTCACTATATTTCTAAGCTCCGAAGCTATATGTGTGAGAAACACATTTTGCCTCTCTTCATTAAATGTAAAAAAAAAAAGATTCACGAATGCAAAATGACACAATTTCAATAATAAATTTAGTGGTGGATTCATGGTGGTAAGCTGTTGACTCCATTTTCTGCAAGCTACACTACCATCATAAAGAAAGGAAAGTAACAAAATATTGTTATGCTATTAACTTGCAATGTAGCACAAGTTACTTAAATAAATAGATAAGTAAATGAAATAAATATTAGAATAAAGACAATAAATAGAAAACGACTTTCTCTCTTGAAACCAATTATGTTTATTTTTAAAACTTTTCAGAATTTTGTTTAACCAAACAAAGTGCTTTTTAAGTGGCTTGGAAACTCACCTATCTTTTATAATTACAATATTCATAACATCACTACAATAGTTACTTTGGTAGTATTAGTAGATAAAGGAAAATTGTACTAGTGTTGCCTATTTCAATTTTCCATACACAGAAAGGGTTTATTCCTCTGCATTTGGCAGCCAAGTATGGTAACGTCAAAGTAGCACGTCTTCTACTACAGAAAAATTCTCCCGTTGATGCTCAAGACAATGTAAGTCACTAGATTTTTAAAGAGACTTTTAACTCATGTAAAAATGTTAGCTTGTGGGTTCAAATAGCTAAAACTATAATTTTAATTTTACACAAAAGACACCAACCAAGAGTATTACTTTTAGTTTGAGCAACAGATTTTTAAAATTTTGAGAGTTGTGTAAAATTTATAATTTTTAAGAAACTGCATGAAGTCAATTCGACATCTACCAGCCATGATGTAATGATGTGTATCATATGCAATCCTGTATTCAAGAATATCATGATGCCAATATTTGATATCAGTTCACTGCTTGTCATCCATATCATTTATGTTAGTCAAGTGGTACAGGAGATCATATATAGCTTAGTTTAGTTTATGGGACAACCTTGGTGGACCAAGAGGTCCACTGTTGTCCTTACGTGTTATATTATGTCAATATAGGGTTGTAGATTAACAGTTAACATACACACAAATGAATGAGGTGTAAAAAGAACTGCATTATACGTTGGACCTGAAGCTTTTGTTACTTAATGGTTCATCAAAAAATGATTAATTACTGGATGGTGTATTGCCAGTATGATTATGATACAGTTATAATCTTAATGAACAATAAATTTTCATGGAATTGTTAATCTGTATCTTCACATCAAAACTTTCTTGCACCACTAGCCCTGATGAAGTTGCAATGCCAAAACATTGACTGAGATAAAAAATGATTATTATCAAGAGAGTAAAGATCAAAATTTCCATGGTATTGTGTATCTGTAATAAGTGTGTTGTGGTTTGTGCTTGTGCTATTATAATATAACAATGTAAGATTTTATTTTGGAAATTAGAAACAAAGTGTAAGTACTTTTGACTAAAAAAATGTAAAGTTAATTTCTTGAAGATGTTATACAGTTAGAAATACGATATTAATAAATCATGAGATATTGAATGATTGAATATGCTTTCAGTTTTATAAATTTAACATACAAATAATTGTTTTTTAAATAACTTTGCAAATATTTGGAAACAAACATAATTTTCATAGTGTGGTTTGTTTTAACCATTCCACCAACAATAAATGTAATATACAGAGATCTTGGTTGCCATAGCATCATTGGAACCTGTAAAAAAAAGTAAGTTTACTGTTCATATATTAATTTATAAAGTTCATTCATGATAAATGTTTTGGTTCACAAAAAAAAAAAAATTTTACAGCTCTGAGTTTTAATTGTGTGAAAGCAAGCCTCTTTTTTTTGATAATTTTAACTTAAAAACTGCTGAGTATGTTTTGTTCATGTAGGTATATAGAAGCTAGGGATTTAATTCAAATTATTTTCTACACAGTGAAGTTTCCTTGGAATTGAATTTTCCCAAATATCTTAATTAATTTGTTTCCTCACTTTTTATTTATCTATTTTTTTTTTTCAGAATGGTTTGACACCTCTTCATATTGCAGTTCATTATGATTATGTAAACATGGCACTATTGCTATTAGAAAAGGGGGCATCACCCCATTCCACAGCCAAAAATGGTTTTACTCCTCTACATGTAGCAACTAAAAAGAGTCAAATGGATATTGCTACCACACTCTTGGAATATGGAGCAAAAGTTAATGTTGAATCTAAGGTAATAATTGTATTGCTTGTTTATTACTGAATAATTGGAAACTGTTAGAATTACTAATATGGAATGACTTGTCATTTGACAGTATGAAGTCTTCATTGGTGATGAAACTTTTGACCAATATTTAAATGTTCTGTCCAAGTTATGCTGACATTAGGGTCCAAGTATTTAGGTACCATTACAGAATAAAAGCAATTAAAAGATATAGCACTGAGTATTTTGTGGTTGTCTAAATATTAGTTCGTCAAGAAATTAATGTCACATTTTGGAACACTTTCATTAACCACTCCCAAAAAACATACATCATGTATAAAAGTTAAATGAACCTCTTAAATGTCACGTTCTTGTAGCCTATATAATGTGTAAAGTTCAGTATGCTCTAATCCCTTAGAGTGATGGTACACAACGAGACACATGTTCATAAGTGTCAATGATGGTTGAGCAAATTTCGTTCAGGTGACTTTAGCCATTAAAACTTTGATGGCATGGGCCGATATATGTTGGAATTAATATTGATGCTCTGAAGATGCTTGTTGAGTCTAACCCAAGGCAACACACTCATGAAATGGCCCTGAAATTGCATGTCTCTCATGAAACAATATGTAAACATCTAAGGAATATGGGAAAACTCCATAAAGGAGGTGTTTGGGTGCCTCATGAATTCTCCGATGATCATCGTTTCCAACATGTGAATGTAACTTTGTCTTCATGAACCATTTTTGACAGAATGGATTCTCTATGTGAATATTAAACACCAAAAACAATGGCTCAGTCCTAGACAAAAACAACTTCTGATCCCAAAACCTGGACTCCATCCACAGAAAGTGATGCTTTGCATTTGGTGGAACATCAAAGGAGTAATTCATTTCAAACTCCTCAATCCACAGCGAACTATCAATGCAGAGATCTATAGTCAGCAACTGGAACATTTAATCAAGCTCTTCATCAGAAGTGCCTTTCACTCCTCAATCAGAAAGGTGTTCTTCTCCATGACAATGCACGTCCACATGTGGCGCGTTTGACGCAACACAAGATTATAGAGTTGGGTTGGGAAGTTTTCTCCCACCCACCATATCCTCCAGATATGGCACCATCAGATTACCATTTTTTTTTCATTTGTTGCAACACCATATTAATAAGAAAATGTATGCAAATGTGGAAGGTTTTAAAGAGGACATTGACATGTTTTTTTGCTTCAAAGCCAAGTGAATTCTGTAATCAGGGCATTAACAACCTGATTGTAAGATGGAAAAGCATCATCGATAAGAATGGGGACTATTTCATTTAATAAATTATTTGTTTTAATATACAAGTTGTTTGGGTTTTTTCATCTAAAAAAAGCAACATTAATTTCTTAACAACATAATAGATTTGTACAAATTAGTTAAATGGATTTGGTCATTAATGAGTATGATGAAAACAGAATTAATATGTTAAGTTTCAAGCAAGTGCACAGCTTGACTCCTTCATGTTGGATAATTTATTAAACTGGCAAAGTTTTAACAAAGTGGTTGCTGTCAAAAGACATAAAAAGTTACAAATGTTGATAACAAGACTGTATATGTTGAGTGGTACAACAAAGAGCTAACTGTTCACAAGGGTTTTAAAAAAAAATCTTAAAAATGATCAAGTTAAGTGTGTACCAAAACGTTCATTTGCAGTTTTTGATACTGGAAGTTTTATCCAGATACAATTTGTTAAATGATAGTGATTTTTGAAATTTTATCACAGAGTTGTACTGTTTCTTGGAAATAACTTGAACTACCTCCTCGATAACACATTTTTGTTAAACTTAGACACAAATTTTTTTTAGTTCCCTATACTTTTGTTTAGGCTGGATTCACACCTCTACACTTGGCAGCTCAAAGTGGTCATACAGACATGGTCACGCTACTGATAGAACATCAGGCTGATGTTAATGCAGCAGCAAAGGTAATTCTGTATAATATTTTTAAATGGAGTTGTTTATTGTATTCTAATAAAAAAATTTCTATTGTATATTCTAATCAATAAATATATATATATATATAATGTAAATAGATTATCTAGAAGTTAAACTCTCAGAATTATTAGTTTTATTAAGTCTGTTGTAAATACTAAATTGGAGACAATAAAGCATCTCAGATTTTTAAAATTAATGACTTAGTGTATGTAAATGTTGAAATTTTCATTTTCTGAGTTTTTTTTTTTGTAGATATCAAGTATATTGGTTATCATAAATCTTTAAAATGTAATTATTTTTCTTCTGGATGTTTTCTACATAAGATTTCAGAATGTTAAATCTGTAGTGTAAAGTAGTATACTGAAGTTGACTCTGCCATTTCTATTTAATATATTTTAAAGACCCTGCAAATTATGGACTTAAAATGAAATATCTTCTGGAAAGTGTACGTCACTTGTACAATTCATCAAATGGTATATTTAGAGTGTATAAAAATGTTATTTCTAGCTTGGGGATATATAGTTCCACACAGTTTAGTATTTTTTTATATACTTATGTGAAATGATATAAATTTTTGTGGTGTTTGCTGTTTACTCAGATAAGTCTAGTACACAAGTTTTCTTTATCTTGCAGTTTTTACATTGCTAACTTTAGTACTAACACTTAATAGAATAAATAAGGTATTCTTTAACTTGCTTATTTGAGAATTACTTTTTCATTAATTGGATATAAGGATCATAAGGTGAGCATAATACTTGTTCCATATGTTTGCTAGTATGTACATGTATGTACTCAGACAATTCTTACAGATACATATAGACTTTAGTGTGTTAAAAATGTATTATTTTACTGAAATTTGTCTTACTCATTGTTCAGAGCTTGAAGTTCACACACACACACATAGTTGCAATCTGCAAGTTAATTTTCTTAATGAAAGTCAGAATTTTTTGGTACTTGCATTTTTCTGCAAGTGCATGTTTGCATATGACACAGTGGATTGAAACGTGAAACTGTAAAATTAAAGTACTGAACTCTTTTTAAGTTATTAAAGGCTGATTCCTGCTCGTTTAGCACCATCTTGTCTATTTCTTATACACAAAAGCAATTTTCTGTTTACTTCCTGTTTAATTTTGTTCATGTATTTATGTAAGTAAATTCATCTGTTTATTTTAGCAATCCTCGAACACTTTTTTGTTGCTAGCACAATATGTGTCTGAATCAGAACACTTTACTAATGCAAATTCAATTTAGACTACATTAATGCAATAGCAAAAAACTAAATTACAAGATTTTTAAACACACCAATTTTAGAAATGAAACTGATGATGAGCAGGAGACATCCAGTAAAAATTATAAAAACAAAAGTGGTCCATCACAGGACCTGATAAAACTGTCAACAAATTGTCAAAATAACTGAATATTACATTTAACTATATTCTTGAAGAAAATTATCTGTCAAAAGCGTTTGAAATACTGTGTATGATATGCCAAGAATGGACAATAGGTCAGTCATCTTCGGTGAGTATGTTAATTTGAAAGAAGTAATTTGTTTCAGGTGAAAAAACTTGGTAGTTATGTAATCAGTTTAGCCAACTCATATCTTGCAAAGTAATAGACAGAAACAAGGATATCTATGAATGCTCTTCTTAAAAATTTGTTTAAGAAGTGTGAATATAGAAGATAAAAATTGTAACTTTAAAAAATACTTCAATTAGTAAATTCCCACCAGTGGCTCAGTGGTAAGTTTCTGGGCTTATGACACCAAAAACCGGATTTTGATGCCTATTATAGGCATAGCACAGATATCCCATTTTGTAGCTTTTGTGCTTAAGAACAAACAAATAGACAATCAGTAAATATTTTTGAACTGATAAACACTAATTTGAAATACTTGAGTAGTGAGTAGCACATATGAAACAACTTTGTAAGTTTGGTGGGTGGTGGGTTATGTTTTTGCCCAAGGTCACTTACTTACATATTAATAAAAACTGGATATGATTTTTCATTTTCATTATTGACCTGATATTTACATAACATTACAAACTTTTATAATAATTATACTACATTATTTTACTTTAAGGCATGAGTTTTCAATGAGCCATGTAAAAAAATTGAGCTCAACATTTTAGTAAGTATTTTTTAGAAACACTTGTAAATTTTTGTAAGTGAGCTTAAGAGTAAAATTCTAGCCCTGTTGTTTTGTTACAGAATGGACTAATGCCTCTCCATCTTTGTGCCCAAGAAGATCATGTTAAAGTGGCTACTATTCTTGTTCGAAATGGAGCTGACATTGATCCTCAGACAAAGGCCGGCTATACTCCACTGCATGTTGCCTCACACTTTGGTCAGGTGCACATGGTACAGTTCCTGTTACAACATTCTGCCATCAGCAACTCGACCACAGCGGTATGTCTGAAGAGTTTTCTTTCTACAGCTATGTTCATACTCTATTAACCTTCAACATACTTCATTAACCTTCAACATGTAGCTACACTGCACTTCTTAGGCAGCACTTGGATGGAACAATTAGTTATTATGATTTAAAATTATTAGAATTTATAATTAATTATTAATATTAATGATCAGAATGACAGACAGACAATTGTAATTTATAATGATGTCATCTATATGAGGTCAAAACTCTGGAGTTGAGTGAGGCATCTTGTTCGTGGGCTGTACAGAGAACAGAGAAGAATGTGAAGATAGCCATTAAATCACTCTTTTAAGACAACTTTCTAAAGACTAACAACAAATACCATATATCCTTGATATATCTAATATCAAGACTCAACGTTTTTAGAGAGGTGAAAACCTTTGTTTTCTTCTGCTCAGCATGGATATACTCCTCTCCATCAAGCAGCCCAGCAGGGACATACATTTATCATCACCCTGCTATTAGAATACAAGGCCTCACCCAATACTGTTACCAATGTAAGTCTCACAAATTGTGTGATTTTTGTGTTCCCATAGTTTTAGTGGTTTAGAAAGTGAAGTGTGAAATTGTTGAATTCATTTAATATCTGGTATACAATAGTGTACAAACTTGGTACATTGAACTTTCAGATCTTGTAAATTCGTTTTCGTAACCTAAAAAGACTGCCAATTTAGTTGTATAAAATCTACTGTCACATAATTATTGGTTAAGATATATACTTATAAAATAAAACTTTGTTGCAGATACATCTTCTACATAGTATTGCATTAATTTCTTTATAATAATAATATATTAGAATTAGAATTGTAGTTAAGTAATCTTGGTGAGTTGTTTTTTGTTATTAATCAAAGTGTATACACTCACATATACCATTTGTTTCAATAAGCAGGTACAAGTAAACCTTATGAAAGTGAAAAATTGATTAACTTTTCTGCATTTACTGTGTTGGGGAAAACATGTTCAGCTCTAAGATTCAGTACAGTTGTAGCATTCCAAGAGTAATTTTTCCTTGAAGTGTTAAGAACTTTCAAGATCCCAGATTTGACCAGTACATAATATTTTGTGCTAAATTTAACATTTTGACCCAAAAGTACTTAGTTATCCATTACGAAAATGTGTCACAGAACTGATAGGGATTAGTATTTACAGATTTTTTGAGTTGGAACAAAATGTTTAATAGTAAAAGTTTGGCTCTGTGATTTGTGTATAAAAAATGAAATTAATATATTATTTAAGAAGTGTTTAAGAAATGTGAAGTAACGAAAGCATCAGTAACGTACTTCAAAATGTATACTTTCCTTGAAGCTAGGACAAACACCTTTATCCATTGCCCAGCAATTAGGCTATGTTTCCGTGGTGGAAATCTTAAAATCCATAACAGACGTTGATATTTTACCTATCATTACAATGGTAACTGAGGAAAAATATACAGCTGTCTCTCCAGAAATCATGCAGGAGGCATTAATGATTGACTCTGAAGATGAAGAAGGTAAGATGCAAATTAAATTTAAGTAGAGCTTTCATAACAAGAACTATAAAACTTATTTGTAATTGATAT